TAACAATTTGAGAGTCGACGAGAATCAAATGTTTTTTTTAATGGATGCTCTATATCATGCTGATTCCTTGACTAATTTCTGAAAACTGAAAATCTCTTATTTACTAAGTATCAACAACATTTGCGCCTTTTGTCGCTTTATGTGTCCACTACTTAAAATTAATGATCCCTCATGTCTTCTCTATATACTTCCACATTATTTTAGAAAATATATTTGGGAATATTTTATTTATACTTAACATATGCATGCATACATCATTCCGTACTTTTCTTGAGTATATGTTTTATAAATACAATTCCCGTATATTAAAATATTTATTATAGGCACGTGCCGTTGTTTGTCCAAGCACCTAAAAATTCTTCCAGTTCGTCGGGCAAAAAAAAGCACATTAAATGAGGGGCAGTTGATTTCTGGATAGATAAATTTATAAGTATATATCTCTTTCTACAGATGTCTCTTGTACATAAGTGGCTATAAACTAGAAAAAGACTGTCCTATATTTGACCTCAAAAAACATCCGGGACTGGTATTTTGTTTTCGTTTTTTATTTTGTTTTGTGACTGCGTGGGAAAGTATAAAACTAATTGTAGGCGTTGAGGAAAATTTCTTAAGAAAGTCAAAAGATTACTGTGCAATCAGTTCGTGCGGAGCAGTCGTTGTGTTGAGAAGTGTTTCCAATTATTTTCAAAGTTTTGTGCAAGGATTATAAGAAGGACCTACAGAAAAAATACACACAGTGGCCAAAATAGTATGTGATATATATTATAATTATAATATATATATCATTCAAATTAAAAGATATCTAAAACAATTCGTGCGCTAAGTTAAATTTTCTTCCTTAAAAAGAAATAAAAATACAAATAAAATACCAATATCCTTTTAAAAAATACTTTGGGTATTTGAAAATAAGTTTTTTTTGAAAAACATTTTTCGCAAATTTCCAGTTCCGAGTGCAAAAATAATGCTCAAAAACATTTGTTGCCATTAATTATCATAAGATCGCAAAAGTTTCAAAAATATATTTTTATGCTCTTGCAAACCAAAATAGATTTATTCAATAAAAATTGTCACGCAAGCTCGCATATAAAACTAAAATTATGATTTCGATTCAGCATATTGACGAAGAGATTTTCGTACCACCTACGCAAACTATGGATATTCCATATACAGAAATACACATTTTTAGCCACACCCCTCTTTGTGGCTTTGAGGTTATGTTAGGTGTTAAGATCAAGAGCGATTAATTAAAAAAAAAAAAAAAACAAAAACAATTTTTCTTTACAGCTGAAGTCAAAATGCCAAGTGGTAAGGTAGATAAACCTGTTATTCAGGATAACCGTGATGGTACCGTCTCCGTGAAGTACGATCCACGCGAGGAGGGCTCCCACGAGCTGGTTGTTAAATACAATGGCGAACCCGTACAAGGTTTGTAAAAATTTTAAATAAGTTGTTGGAAATTCAATCAATAAGTCGTTTGCGCATACCCATTCCTTGCTTTGGCAGGTTCTCCGTTCAGATTCCATGTGGACTCCATAACATCCGGCTATGTGACCGCCTATGGACCGGGCTTGACGCACGGCGTCACTGGCGAACCTGCCAACTTTACTATCTCCACCAAGGGCGCCAGCGCCGGCGGCCTGACCATGGCCGTTGAGGGACCCAGCAAGGCAGACGTAGGTTTCAATTACAATTTCATCCATCTGCAGTTCTTTTATATTTAAACATATTTCAGATCAACTATCATGACAACAAAGACGGCACCGTTTCGGTGCAATATCTGCCCACTGCACCGGGCGAGTACCAGGTTTCGGTGCGTTTCGGCGATAAGCATATCAAGGGCTCACCCTATTTCGCCAAGATAACGGGCGAGGGTCGCAAACGTAATCAGATATCGGTTGGCTCCTGCTCGGAGGTGACCATGCCCGGCGACATTACCGACGATGATCTGCGCGCTCTAAATGCCTCCATTCAGGCACCCAGCGGCTTAGAGGAGCCGTGCTTCCTCAAGCGTATGCCCACCGGCAACATTGGTATTTCGTTTACGCCACGTGAGATTGGCGAGCATCTGGTGTCGGTGAAGCGTCTGGGCAAGCACATCAACAACTCGCCTTTCAAGGTGACCGTCTGCGAGCGCGAGGTGGGCGATGCCAAAAAGGTGAAGGTCAGCGGCAATGGCCTCAAGGAGGGACAGACGCACAGCGACAACATTTTCTCCGTTGACACGCGCAATGCTGGCTTTGGTGGTCTCTCTGTGTCCATCGAGGGTCCCAGCAAGGCGGAGATTCAGTGCACCGACAAGGATGACGGCACACTAAACATCTCCTACAAGCCCACTGAGCCCGGCTACTACATTGTCAATCTTAAGTTTGCTGATCACCATGTGGAGGGCTCGCCTTTCACAGTCAAGGTCGCCGGCGAGGGCAGCAACCGCAAGCGCGAGAAGATTCAGCGCGAACGCGACGCAGTGCCCATCACTGAAATTGGCAGCCAGTGCAAGCTGACTTTCAAGATGCCCGGCATCACGTCCTTCGATCTGGCCGCCTGCGTCACCTCGCCCAGCAATGTCACTGAGGATGCTGAGATCCAAGAGGTTGAGGATGGTCTCTACTCTGTGCACTTTGTGCCCAAGGAACTGGGCGTGCACACCGTTTCGGTGCGCTACTCTGAGATGCACATACCCGGCTCGCCCTTCCAGTTCACGGTGGGTCCACTACGCGATTCGGGCAGCCATTTGGTAAAGGCTGGCGGCTCCGGTCTAGAACGCGGCGTTGTCGGTGAGGCAGCCGAATTCAATGTGTGGACACGTGAAGCTGGTGGCGGCTCGCTGGCCATTTCGGTGGAGGGTCCCAGCAAGGCAGACATTGAGTTCAAGGATCGCAAGGACGGCAGCTGCGATGTCTCCTATAAGGTGACCGAGCCTGGAGAGTATCGCGTGGGTCTTAAGTTTAACGACCGCCACATCCCAGACTCGCCATTCAAGGTCTACATCTCGCCCGATGCAGGCGATGCCCACAAGCTGGAGGTGCAGCAATTCCCACAGGGCAACATCCAGGCCGATGCGCCCTACCAGTTTATGGTGCGCAAGAACGGCGCCAAGGGTGAGCTGGATGCCAAGATTGTGGCACCCTCGGGCACCGATGATGATTGCTTCATTCAGGTGATCGACGGTGAAATGTATTCGGTGCGTTTCTATCCACGCGAGAATGGCATCCATGCCATTCACGTCAAGTTCAATGGTGTCCACATACCCGACTCACCGTTCAGAATCAAGGTAGGCAAGGATGTGGCCGATCCGGCTGCCGTGCATGCCAGCGGCAGTGGTCTGGACGACATCAAGACTGGCCACAAGGCCGATTTCATCATTAACACCTGCAATGCGGGCGTTGGCACACTGGCCGTTTCCATCGATGGTCCATCCAAGGTCGCCATGGACTGCACAGAAGTTGAGGAGGGCTACAAGGTGCGCTACACACCGCTGCTGCCGGGCGAGCACTACATCACGGTTAAATATAACAACATGCATATTGTGGGCTCACCCTTCAGGGTGCATGCCACCGGCGACAAGCTGGCTGATGAGGGAGCCCAGGAAACATCCACAGTTGTTGTGGAGACCGTCCAAAAGATCGCGAAGGGTGGCAAGAATACTGGCGTCCATCTGCCCAACTTCAAGTCCGATGCCAGCAAGGTGGTGTCCAAGGGAATGGGCTTAAAGAAGGCGTACATTGGCAAGCAGAATCAGTTCAGCATCTGCGCCACAGATGCGGGTGAGTAGAACAAGTTTTCATTGTAAATCTCAGACTTTTCTCTAACTTCATCATTCATTTTGTGTCTAGGCAATAACATCCTGTACGTGGGCATGTACGGACCCAAGGGACCCTGCGAGGAGTTCCATGTGAAGCACGCTGGCCACAACAACTACAATGTGCAGTATCTGGTGCGCGATCGCGGACAGTATGTGCTCCTTATTAAATGGGGCGAAGACCATATACCCGGCTCCCCATTCCAGATCGATGTCTAGGCTAAGGCCAACAATCATATAATAATACACATGCATAGATATACACCATCCCGCTCAAACCGTTCCCGAGTGCATTGTGAACCAATCCAGTCTGTTCCAGGGTCCAAATCTTTTGTGTTTTCTTCATGATTGTCTTTGTTTAATTTTAATTCTTTGCCTATCATTATTATAAGTGATTATTATTTTTTGTTATTTGTACATAAAAAAAGAAATATAAATGTTTTCGACTTGAACAATGTTTGCGCGCCATTTTCACATATCAATTGATTTGTTTTTGTGTGAATAATTAAACTAAATAAATACAAAAATTAAATTCATTCAACTTATTGTCATTAACGATTTGATACTATTAAAATTACTCAGCAAATATTTAGAAAAAAACGCGAATAAATCTCTTAAACAATTATTTAATACTTAAGCAAACACTTATGAAGATGATTATTATGATTACGACGTATTATGTTTTTTTATTATCACTATCGACATGTAATTTACGTAAACTCAAATAAATAAATTAAAAAAATATATGGAATATTTTACGATTTCTGCAGTAATATAAAATAAGAGTAGTAGTAGTTTTGAGATATTCATAAAATTCATTTTTAAAAAATAAACTACTATAACTCGGATAAATTATATATGATGTGAAATATTAGTTTTGCTAAATATTGGGTGTTTTAAACGTTATTTTCACGTGAATAACGTTACCGACTCTCATGGCAATTTTACTCTAATTTGACACACAGGTGGCAAGGGGTTACACTACAATTTCTGCAAATAAGGTTGATTCTGAAATATACAACTTAAAATTTTTAACCTTAACGAGACTAAGAATGTAATTTAAACATCCGATTTTATCTATCCGAGTTTCAGCTATGCGAATACATTTAAAATGAATAATTAAAAATTTAACGCACCTCGAGCTAGCTAAATAAATAGCAAACACCAGCATTAGATTTAACATTTGAATACATTCAGTTCGTTAGTTATTCAATTTAATTTGTTTCATTTGCATGATACATATAATATTGTAGATTCTTCTTTTAGCTTCTATTAGCAGATCGCCGCTTAACATGTTCAGCTCCTTGGTAACAAACTTACCAAATTGTTCGGTTAGTTGTGATTTGCGGGTCGATTGGTTTGGACTTTGTTGTCCAACGTTTGGCTGTTCTATTGAGTCATCATGCAGCATCTCCAATTCTATGTCTTCTGGTTCTTTAAGCCTACTTCCGTCTTGAGCATTATCAGTATGCGCTACTGTGTTGTTGGTATGCGATTCAGACTCTTTACATTTCTTCGAAGGGGGCTCGCCCTCAATGTAATCAAGCGAAGTACGTTCATATTTCAAGCATGTTTTAGGATAGATAGGCATATCCTCAGCGAACCAATTAGAAGAGTCATCAAAATAACTAGAGCTTCCACTGTTCTCCGAGTACTGATCAAACTGGGTGGCTTCTAAAGCGCCCAAAAGTTCGGCCATTTTAGCATAGTGAATCCACTCTGAATCAGCGCCCATGCTATCCCTCTCTTTGCTAAAAATCAAGAATTTACTATTAGTTGGTCCAAGGTATCTACACAGTCAATGCCCATCTTACCGGAATTTACGAGTTAACGATTCAATTTTCGCCTTGACATCAGAATATCTGATTTCAATTCCCTGGCCGTGGAACTCCAATTCCATGTCCTTATATACATGCGACTTTTTTCTATCGCCTCGCAGATCTCGAACGTACTTTTGCCACACATCCAGGAATACTTGTTCTTCTTGCAGAATCCAATGTCTACGTCTTTGCTTAGGTTTTTCTAAAGTTGTGTTGGAAATAGTCGATTCTGAAGCATTGGCATTATGTGCTCTACTGTGTCGTTGCTCTGTCCTTCTTGGAAATGGTCCATCTGTTGACATAGTGGATGAGGAGGTTGTCTTAATGTCGTCATCTTCATTTTGGGAGTATTCTTCTTCATTAAAAAACATTGGAGGAACCTCGTCGACATAGACCGAACTGAAAGTTTTATCTGGAGACCAAATAGATGCTTATAACTTAACGTTGTTAATATTTGATTTGAAAACTTACCTGAGCTTACTTCTGGCCTCTCAAATCGAGTTTCCTTCATTTCTTCCTGATATTCCATTATAGCGACCATTTTGTCAAAGTTTTTCCATTGTTTCCTTGGTTTGTTTTCCCTTATAATACTGATATTTTGGTTATAATTTGTGCTCTAAAATAGCAATTCGACACATCGCTTGCAGCCAACACTTACTGACAATATTTCCTTTTAAATGATTCCATTTTAGCCTTAATATGTGCCGCCGATATGTCAATTCCCTGATTAATGAACTCGACTTCCAAGTCCCTATAAACTTCGGATCGTTTTTTTCCACAATGCAATGCACCCAGGTTACTGTACCAGATGCGCAAAAATCGATCCTCTTCCGAGGGCGTCCAGCACCTTCGTTTGCCGCTCACTACAGGCATAATTAATATTTAAGCAATATATCAGCTAATTGTAGCATGTACTTACTTTAATTTGTTTTAAAATAGTTGTTTGCTTAATTTAAAACTTTTGTTTGTCGCAAGTCGTAGCTTCCATCCAAGCATTAAAATCAAAACAATGCATAAAATGTTAACAAGGTTCCTATGCCATCGTTGCATTCTGTAGCTGATACGACACAAACACAAATTTCATGCTCTGAAGACCATAAATGCCGCTCTCTGACGTCACACAACAGTTAATTTTGAATTTGTATTTTTCATGTACCATGAAAAGAAACACTAGCAGCAGCTGTTCGCGGCGTTGCCACGTTGTTAAAATTTGTAAACCAATTAATTTTAAATATTAACACTATACATTTTTATTTGTTTCGATCAATTTGTAGCATTTTTACATCGCATAAGATGTTGAAAATTTTTCTTTTGGCATCAACACGCAGGTCTTCGTCCAACCCATTCAACTCCTTCGCCACAAGCTGGCCAAACTCAAAGTCGTGATTTTTAAAGTACTTTTCGTCCAATACCGTAGAAGATACGCTACTTTGGTTAATCTGGCAGTCGTCTTCATTATGGGAATTGTCTAGCGTCGTAATATTGGGAAAATAGGGCTCTAGAACAAACTCTTCGGCGCAGCATTTGTCATTTTCGGCAAGCTTCATTGAATCGCATTCCTCAATGTAAACGGAGTTAAAACTGGCATCTTAGGGATATACAAACCAGTTGCTCAATGTAAGCATCATATTTTTTTTCAGAAAATTCGGCTTACGTTCGTTATAATCTGCATGTGAACTATGAAGTCGACTGACCATGCTTACATCCATTAAGTCCAGTATTTGACCCACCTTTGAGAAGTGAGTCCACTTGGATAACACATTTTTTGCCCGTTCGGCTCTACAGATAGACATAAGCTTTTAGAATAATTTAGATTCAAATTAAGGCAAGCTCTCTGCTCTTACCTGAATTTACGAACATAGGTATCTATTTTTGTTTTAATGTCCATTGTTTCAACGTAAAAACCTCGATTTCTGAGGTCTTCTCGCATTTCTTTATAAACAGTAGAGTGCTTTTTGCTTCGCTTAAGTTGCTCGGCTCTTTTGCCCCACGAATCGAGGAAACAAATCTCTTCTGCCGGGGTCCATCTTTTCATCTTTCTTCTGCAGCTCCCAGATCGATCATTACCCATTATTTGCTTTTCAAGTTGGATTTTTTCTTATTAAATTACAGCGGTTCGATCTGGTTTGATATATTTGGAATAGAGTTGTCCAGCGGGTTGCGGAATTGCGCTGTGTTCTGATTGACTGTTATTAACATGTGCAATTCTTGATTTCACTAACTCAACAAAACCTAGGTTTCCTATTTAATATTGTTATTAGAAAGTCGTAGACCTATAGTGTTTTATGCTGCGTATGTTTTGAATTGATGCAAACCTCACAACCAGTTCCAATGGTCAACCATAAACAGCTGATTGTATACAGAACTCAGGTTAACAGAGCTGCAACAGAGCATGTTAACGCAGCCACGAAACTGTTATGTTAGTTTCGTTAAGTGGGAAATTAACGCATAAAAATACTTGGCGCCTGAATTTCAAAAAATGTACCACACTTAAATAAAAGTGTCGAAAAATATGACAATTGAAATTTAAGTAATTACATTCTTTATTTATTTAATTTTTTAGTTAAATATGCTTTAAAACTTATTTACATGGTTGTGCACTAAGCGAATACATTTAGTGTTAGGCATTACAAAATACATAATAGATAACTTCTACGTTAATAAGTTAAATATGTAGGTTTTACTTTCGCAATACTTTATACCTTGCGTTAAGGACACTCTTTTTTCGCAGCCACCAACTGAGACAGCATATTCCATCCATCATCCACCACTTGTAGTAGCAAAAATAAACTATGATCTGTGCTCTTGGGCATTTTTCTCAAGTTCAATTGGTTTAAAACAAGTTTCAAATATTATTATTTTTTTTTTGGTTAACTTAGTGCTAAATAGCTTAGTAGTATAGTTTCAATTGTTTCTGTTTTTCTTTTTTTTTCTTTTTTTTTTTTATTATCTGACAGTAACATACGTAAGTGTTAAGATTTTACCCAAGCAGCATTAGGAAGAGTGCTAAATAAAAATTAAATATTATAACTTTTGCCAAACGGAATGAGGTGATGGCTATTGTTGTGATAATGCAAATAAACTATAGTCTTAAGCTTCTTTTTTTTTACCATTGTGATCGCCCGTTTTTTTTTTTTTTTAAATAGGAACGTTACAAAAAAACTCAAAATAAATTACAATACATGAAGCAAACGAACGACTGACTTATAAAATAAATAAATATACAAAATACACTTGCAAAAAGTATAATAGGCTTTTAATCTTAACTAAGTTGGCTAACTTACAAGTTTATATCACTTTTCGCAAATAATTCGTTTTTTTTCTTTTTATAAATTAAATTATATTGAGGCTGTTGAATAATAAAGTCGCGTTGGATTTTCTTTTGTTTCTGTTTTTGGTTAAAAAGCTGCAAAACTAAGTTCAAGTAATGTTGCTTAAAAGATGTTGATCTGGAACTCGCTGACAATGCCCTCGAGGAAACCTTTGAGATTGTCATAGGAGTGGGTGCGCCAATATATGTTATCATTGACCTGCTCCATGGCCAAGCCAATGGCTAATTCGACGGCCTTCAGGCCCAATTTGCGGCAATTGGCGGCCAATGCCTGCAGCTGCTGTTTGTGATAGTCCTTGTTCATGTAGATGGTCAGGGATTTGATCATCTCAGATATGGTGGAGAAGCCATCGCCATAGCTACAAATGGAGTTTATGCTTAAGCAGCGCAAAGTGTAATAATTAGCAGGGGCACTCACTAATCCGCGATTTCCTTAATATTGGTCTGCAGAAAATCAAATGCAATCTCATAGCCAATCGCATTGGAGGCCACAGCTCGGAAAGCCAAGGCGCCATCCTGTTTCAGGATGCCCGACGTCGAATTGATGGTCAAATTTAGATATCTGTGCGAGAGTAGTACAGCATTATTTAAAGATCTAGGCGCTTATCATCAAATTTAATAATATCGTTAAATATCTCATATTCGGGAATAAAGCACAACTTACTTGGAAAGCAGCCAGGGCTTGGTGGTGCAGCCGAGAGATGTGAGTATCTCCTCCTTTTCCGAGGCGCTATTCGTTCGTTTGTACTGTTTGTAGGCAAAGTACCATTCTTGGTAGGAGCCCTCCGCCAACGCCGTGCAATATATAACCGATTTCAGATTGGGCTTGATGCTGCGCCAGAAATTGAGTTTAGCTATGGATATATTTCGCTAACGGAGAAAAGTCTACTCACGGATTCTTTTTGGCATCGCGCATCCATTCGCGGAACTTCATTTGGGCCACCTGTGTGCAGCGATCGTAGTTGAATTTGCAGGCGAAATTGGCCACCAGCGCCCGATGCTTGAGTTGCAGGTGGGACTCATTGTCCGGCTCATTGAGTCCATAATGATCGAAGGCGGGGCGCACTATGAACTTCATAAAAGCCTAGTGGAAAAAGAAAAGAGTTCAATATAAGCGCAAAAACGATTGTAGCCTAATGCAAAGTTTTTTCTCTTCGTTTAGAAGTTCAGACTTACCCTGAAGGTCTCATAGGCCGGCTCTCGCTTCAGGTTGTAGATGAGATAGTTGAGACCCGGCTTGGCTGCGCTCCACAGCAGCTCATCGTCCACGGCTGTGAAAAGCTCCATTAAGAATGTCAAGCTGCAAGTGCGTATAGTTAAATCGGGGATGCTGGAAGGTGACAGGTCTATAGCTTACGGTATATCGTATGGGAGATACTCCGCCTGCGAAAGATGCAGTGCATCGTCCAGTAGCTGGGCGCGTGTGATGCGTGGCAGTGTGCTGAAGTTCTTCTTCAATGCCAGCCAGGAGGTCAGGTCGTAGTTGATGCGATAGTAGCTCTGCCTGTTAAGGTTTAAATAGACAACGTTGTCGCTATTGTCCTGCTTGGTGAACACATCGCTGATCACCAGCTGCTCCTGCTCCTGGGTCATCCAGTGTGTGGGTATATTATCGCCCTTGTGCAGCTCATCTGTCTCATAGGTGATCGGTATGAACCAGCGGCTGTGGTCCAACGGGTTTCGTGCGGGCAACAAATAACGCTCTTGACGCAGCACCAAATCGGCACCATTACGCTCCACATGGACCACCGGGTAGCCGGGCTGTGTTATCCAGGAGTCCATGATTTGCTTGACATTCATGCTCTTCGGCAGGGTGCCCTTGGCATGGCCATGACGCGTGAGGAATGCCCAGAGATCATCGCGATTCATGTTCTCGTAGGCAAATGTCTGCAGCAGATCCTGTGTGGCTGCACGGAACGCCTCGTCGCCCACAATTGAGTTCAACATGCGTAGCAATATGGTGCCCTTGGAGTAGCTAATGGGATCAAAGATGCGGCGCACATCGTTGGTGGTCTTCACATCGAAGGAAATGGCATGGGAGGTGTTGGCTGCATCATGTTGCATAGACTCCTTGAATTCCTGCAAATTCGAATCAAATGTTAAAAGTTGGAAACTGGTAACACTTTGAAAGGGTACCACTTACCAGCACTGTAAACGTATCCATAATCTGGAACTCGGGATGCACCTGGTTCAGCGCCTTGTAGCTCATGTAGCAGGCAAAGCCCTCCTTCAGCCAGAGATCATCCCACCATTTGGGCGTGACCAGATTGCCAAACCATTGGTGGGCCAGCTCGTGGGCTATGATCTGTGCCACGTACTGCATGTGCTCCGACGAGGAGGCCAGCTCCTGATCCTCTGGCACCAGCAGCGCCGAGTCACGGAAGGTAATAAGACCCCAGTTCTCCATGGCGCCAAAACCAAAGTCCGGCACCGAAACGAGATCGATCTTGGGCAGCTTGTTCTTGATGCCAAAGTACTCCTCGTAATATGGCAGGAACTTGCGAACCATCTTATAGGCATAGTGGGTCATGTCCACAAAAGTGGGTCGCGTCCAAATCTCCACGCGCGGCACAAGGCTGCCATCGAGATCCGCAAAGCGCGAGTCAATCATGTTGGACACGATGAAGGCCAACAGATAGGTGGGCATTTTGGGCGTGGTCATGAAATCATCGCGTATAAAGCCGGGCCGATGGGGGCTGTGGAATAAAAGGATGGGTTATAAATGCACTTAAAATAATATTATTATAAGTTAGTTTTGTTTATTTCGCTGTTAGTAAGACTGCTAGTTTGATTTAACTTAAAAATAAGCAATATTTAGGTATTGAGGTACATGAGTTAATATTGTTCTACGTTTGAGATGCTTAACAAATATTTGTTTGATACTCTTAAAAGATCAAATAAGTTTAAAAGGTAATTTAAAAAAGTTATGCAATAAATAAGTATAAGTTACTTGAAGCAAGTAAACCCGCTCCTACAGTACTTTTACCCCTGTTTTACATGATTCAAGTATACAATTTCGAAGTCTGCTCACCTGCTGCGTGCTTTGGGCATGTTGGACAAGCACATGGTCTTCTTAACATCTCGAATGATGCTTATGGTGAAGTTGGCCTTCATATCAGGGCGATCGAAGCAGGGAAAGGCGCGACGCGCATCAATCGGCGAGAACTGGGTGCTGATAACCCATCTAAGTGGAAGAGAACAAGCATTGAGAATCTTTCGCAATATTCAACACAGTTCATATTACTTACTGCAACTGCTTGGTCTCTGGATTGGTGTAGCTGGTCTTGTAGATACCCTGCAGCGTATCCGTCACCTGACTGACAAAGTCCAGGCTCAGCCACAGACGTAGTTTGGGCTCTGTCGCCAAGTCCTTGGCCAGTCTAACCACAAACGTGGCATTGTTATCCCCGTAGTCGCTGTCAAAGTCCAGTTCCACTTCCTCGCTACCGTTGGCAATGGGAGCTCGTATGATGCGCACATTAGAGATGCTGACATTGTACACATCCAGGACAATCGGCTCCCAGCTGGTCACCTTGGCGTCTCGTTCGATTTCAATGGTAACGCTGCCATTGCTGGCGGACGACTCGATATTTGGCTCAATGACAATTCTGTAAAAAGGCAGGATGTCAAAAGGTTTTGGGTAAGTCATTAGCCAACCACTTAAGTGCAGGTGCAAATAGTTGTAATCACTGCCAAAAATGACAAGGGGCTTCAATCAAAAGTGCCAATCAATCAGCGCAGCAGCACATGTGATTGATCAGCAGCTGTGGTTCAGGCAATTGACTAGCTACGTCGCAGAACTGGCGTCTGAACCGGCCATTAGAAAGGGGCTAAAATGAAATTGCATGCCATAAAATGCTAGAATAGCAAATACCAAGAATGATCGGGCATTAACGAGAATCCAATGCTCTACAGGCGAGTTTATTTTTGGAGCAACTTGCAACTATTAAAAGTAGCTGATAAAGTAGGCTGCAAGTCGGTTCGATACT